CTAACAACAGAAAATCCCGGAAAAAAACTTTTCTGGTGATGAACGAAAACCTAAGCGCGTACCATGTTTGAGAAGAGTAGAAGAAAGTGAAAGTTTCCAGAAACAATTATTTTCACGGACCAGATCCCTAGGAGGATGTGAATCTATGACACTCAGCGTCAAATTTTTTTGAATTTTTTATTTTTCCTATCCCGACTTGCGTCTGCTGTACTCCGTCTACAAAAACGAGACAGTAAAGGGAAGGTAACGCCGGCCAGCATGGCGTCAATAGAATAGATCAAAAAGTTTCTGAAATAATATGTGAGGAGGAGTGGATTTTAATTTATTGCAAGTTTTTTGAGTTAAATTAGTTAGAAATTTCAATATATTTATTGTTCTTTGAAAAAATCAGATGAGAACAAGATTGTCCATTCCGATCACCCTTATGTCTGGAGTACGCACCTGATGAGGTACCCAAACTCGGCAACACAAGAGTGAGTCATCCATTTACGAATATAAAATACAAGGATGAAGAGAAAAAAAGAAAATCGGATGAGATGAGAGTTCTCAGTTGTCAACTGACTTGGCAGATAAAATCAGGTTTATGGAAAGATCTCTTTTTATCTCAATATTCACCGGTAACTTTTAGATTCTTTCGGACTTTATACCACCGGAAACCATGTATGGCATGTTCTCTCATGCTTTTTTCCATTATTGTTCGCAACAGTGCCAACTAAGCTATATTCGAGTTTTTTTCTTAATTTTGACTGAGAACGTGCGGGACTGTTCAGGTAGGTGAAACTGCCGCTGAGATTAGCACAAAACAATATATGCTCAATTTCTTTTATTCAACTAATCATTGCCAGCCGGAAGCTTGAATCGAGACTGGTAATCTGGCATTCATCCAAACTAAACTTTTGGCGCGTAATCAATGCATTAGATTACAAGTTGCAAAAGAATCAGGTATTGTGTTTGTACAATGAGAAAGCGTTTCTTTTACGTAACGTATTTTTCTCGAATTCACTCTGATTAATTCTAATTTGTAGATGTAAAACCGCTGGCTGTTTGTTTGTTTGCCAAATTAGCATATTAGCGCTGCTTAGCCCGTGTCATTTGTCCGCGTCTTAGTTTTAAATGCGACGGAGCAATGGAACGGTTGTGTTTTTGTTCCGCGTAGTATTTCTATATATTTTTCTTCTATTCATCATTAGTTATCAATTCTATTATATAAATTGAGTTGTTAATATTAATTATTTATCGTTTTATCAACATTTTTACTCTTTCGTCTTGCTCTTGATTAATGATGATGATGGTTATGATTCTGTGCTCTCTTGCATTTGCGTCAACACTAGTCATCCCTCCCCCCTCCCCAGTAGATTGAAATAAGATCCATTATGAAATTCAACTAAAACGCTTTATGTGAAATTCATTTTTTTTTTGTTCTTTCTCTCTCTATTTTTTGTTTGAGACATTGGAAAAGGATGACAAATGAATTTTTAACGTACGTTTACTTAACTCTGCCAGTCATAAGTTTTTGAAAAACAAGCGTTTTGGTAGCTTTTCAAACAGCCATATTCTCCATGATTAGGTCAGCGCAATTCACTCATGAACTTCCCAAGCCTTGAAAGGCGACTTTTATTGTGTTTGTGGATGCAATAACTGCTGAAGATTTGTAGTAATTGCCCTCAGCACTGCTATAAATAACGCACAACTTTTATAAATTGCACGAACTTTACATGAGCATTGCCAAGCGAAAGTTATATATCTGGACGCCCACTCATCAAATGACAAGACAACATGTTGTTGAACATGCTTTAGGAGCTCACTAAGCTTCTTTTCCTCCATACATACGCATAGGAATATATGGATATATTCAACTTTCTTTTTCTCCATTCTGAATTGCTGCTTCATCTCTGTAACTTCATGATACTCTCCTTAAAAGGCATCTCTCGCTTACTTCTCTAACTCACTAGCGATCTCTATGCTTCATACGTTCTCTCATCCATCAGTCCACATCGTCGTCCTTCGACGGAGCAGCAGAGCTGAGCGCACAGAGGCTTTCTCTTTTTTTCTGTTTTTTTCCTCTCTCTGTCTAAACCTTCATTCGATCATTAAGAAAAATTATTCATTATGGCTTCTGCCTGCCATATGGCCTTCGCTTCTCCCATTTTCCGACAGAAATCAAGATGGTTCGTACTTTAAATCTGTTTTTTCGCGATTTTAAGTAGTCGGCTGTGGTGCGTTGACCAAAATACTGCGATTTTATCATTCAACTGCTATAGTTTCATTCTTTTGGATTCTTTTTCTTTTTTTTTTTGCGAAGTTAACTAGAGAACAAGAGTCAATATGCTTGCAGTTTATTAGCCATTGACCCGTGCTTGACCTTAGAAGATCAGCGGTATAAAATAATCATCAAAGCTGCTTCTCCTACTTGTGTCAATCGTTTTTGACTGAGTGGCATTTCACTTGTTGGTATGCAAAGGTATTTATGTGTATATGTGTGTGTGACACCCCTGTGTGCCAGTCTAAACCAAAATATCGATTAGCTGTTGTTTCGAGAGCTCCAAAAAAAGGGGGCGCAACATCAGCAAGCCGATACTCATTTTGGCAAGTTTAATTAAAGTCCAAGGCCTTCAGGCTATTCCTTTTACGGTTCTCAGCTTGTTTTCTCTAAAAACTATGCTATAGTTTGACATTATTTTTATGCTTATTTAGCCCCAAAGATTATGAATATTCTATTTGAGTGTCTCTTTTGAAATTGAGAGAAAAGTTTTTTGAAGGATTAGAGTTAGTCTAAGCTGTGGCTATAAGCTTGTGCAAGGTTTTTTCTTCAACAGCATCAGCACAGTTTTTGAAGTTTGTCGGAGACTCAGAAGAATGTGGGAATGTTGCCTTTCCTCCGCTGCTTTCCGCATGTTTCTTTGGCAAGTTTGTTGATGGAAATCGTTTGGGACAAGAAAGAAAACAAAGCCAGTAGTTATTTATCTTATTTATTTATACACAAATAATTCTATAGTTTCCTCAAAACAGCTGTTGCTGTGTTCATGTGGATTCATTCTCTTTCCAATTCAAAACTGATTTCGCTCGTAAATCATAATTATTCTAAGGCGTTCCTCTATACTGTGTTGCACTAAAGAGGTATGTGAGATGAAGATTGCAATCATCGCAACTCTTGCCGTCCGCAGCTTTTGATGATCTTTTTGATAATCTCAAGAAGCAGTGTGAGCGCAGACAAATATGTTTTGTGTTGCTCAAATAGTCTTTCTGGGCTTTATCCAGCCTCTTCCACACATTATTTTGGCTATTAATTTTTTTTGTTCTGTGACAAAAGACTCTTTGTGAAGAATCGATTGTGAGCATGTGCTTGTTACATTCCATTGCTTTGCTCATGTAGACCCTACGGAATGCTTGACGACGTACGAGTTTATTCAGAAGAAGATTAAAGACAGTTTGGATTTTGGAGAGCACAAAGAAAGCGTTGAAATGAAAGACGAGAGCCCAAAATCTCTGACAGGAAGAGAGAGAGAAGAATGACTCCGCCCGTTTTTCAAAATCCTTGCTTGTCCTAAATGACAATTTTATGCCGAGCCTTGATATCTGCTGAGAACCTGAAAAGAGAAGGAATAGCTATGCAGGATGAGAGAAGTATGTTCATAATTAATACAAAAAATAAGAGGGAGAGAGAAAAAAGATAGCATGAGAGATAGGAAATGAGGAAGAAAACTTTTAGCTTTCAGCTTTCAGCTTGCAGTCGTGCTGGACAGCGGAATGTAAAATCTCATTGAACTTAATCCTATCAACATTTTTTTCGGTTCATTTCCAACCATTTTCTCTAAATTGATTAGAACCAAAAGAAGAAAGTGTTTTACTCGCTCCTTATATGACCCGTTTGGCATTTGAATATATTTTGCTCTTGTTGTACTTTGTTGTGTGCACGTGTCAATTATCTTTCCCGAATGGACACTATCAGTCCCAAACGATGACTGACGAAAGGTTATTCTCTATATTTGTATGCAAATGTATTTTTTTTCGTTTCTGTTCGCATTTGCTCCTCCTCTCCAAAAATTTTATTCTTGGTATTTTGTATTGTTGTAGAGATGGTCCATCAAGAACTTAGGAGTCGTTGGTATGATTTAACGGCTTTCATGCCGGCGGATAAACGTGACAACTGGTGGAATATTGTTGCATCAGCTTATGAACAACGTCCATTCAGGTTATTACAACCTTTGTATCATTTTTCATCGTTTTCATGTTTTTTCAGAGGCCTGGAACATTTGGCTAATATGCTCCAATTATTTGATAAATGTAAAGATAGTCTCAAAGATCGTTATGCCACAGGATTTGCCATTTTTTTCAAAAAGTGGGTTTTTTTGCCATTTTTTCATCTTCATAAGTTTCTTCTCCTCCTCTCTCTCTCTTGAGAGAGAGTTGATTGAATGCAAATTCTTTTGTCTTCAATTGAAAATCGTTCTTACGAAAGAAGAGGAGGAAAGATGCTGAAAAACAGAGAAAAAAAATTGATAACGGAAAGGGATAAAAGTTTAAATCAGCTAATGGCAACTGAAAAAAAAACTTCTCGCAAACGCTGATAGCACTCCTATGAATCATATACATTATATATATTTATATATATATATATATATATATTACGTTATCGCACTGAAATCGCAAATCACGTTTTTTATTGAAACAATTACATTCTCTTACATTCACTTTATATCACCCCATGATACTCTAATAGATAATGGTCCTGAGACGATGAGAAAAAAGGAGCTAATTGTCATGCTGAATGCATTATTTGGTTTCAATAAATTTAGCCAATAATCCATCTTTTTTCTTACGAGACTCACATCAAAATTCTATTTTGGTGACAGATAATCTTTGGCCCAGATTTTCAAATTATATGAAAATAAAATGGGAGAGTGATGAGTCTGAAATGCAACCGCTCATTACGCCTTGTGCAGTTGAAATAATATGCTTTGTAATCATCTGCCACGTGCCTTACGTGACGTCATACACGTGAAAAGCATGCGCAGATATTCTAATATTGTTTTGATGTGAGCAAAAACTTCCCCTAAGATATGAATATCTTTTGCATTACACTTGCTCTGGCGTAGCTCATTGATAATCTATCCGGTTAGCACTACTCTTCTTCTATTGCTTGGCACATCATGCCGGTCTTTCTGTGTTTGACGAAAGACACACCACCATCTTGCACTCTTCATCATTATGATCAGTTCTATCGGCGCGAAAATTTATTTGTTTATGCTTGTTATGTTTGGTATTTCATCAGGGGAGCTTATGGTCTTCAGATGATTCATAAACCCTTTCCTTTTCGAATGCAGTTGGTGTTCTTGAGTCGTCTTAGCTCAACTCATTGTCATCATTTGGTTACTTCGTATTTTTATTTATTTGCTTTTCAGTATAGCCTATGATCCGTTGTCCGAAGACTCAGCTGAGAAGAGTGCTAAGCTACTCCGTGATTTCGCCCAAGAAACAACCTTTGACTCGGTAAGTTTTCGAGTGTGGGAGAACAGTCGATTGTTTGTGTAAGACAAAAGTTAAAAATAGTCTGTTTCTATGATTATTCCTCTGGGGTAGGCTCAATCAAGAGTCGTATGAGGAGGAAAACAGGAAAACGCCAACCTCTGGTTTGGCAATCTTCCATTTATGAAGGTTTAGAAGGGACTGGTGATTAATTCCTAAAAATGGTTGGAAAGTGAAAGAGAGGGCCAACCTGACTCATATGAGAGGCATGAATTGAGCCTTTCATTCGTTGGTCTTAGAGAATCCACCTGAACTTGTAATTCCTTTTTGTCATTTTATAGAAACTAGTCTTTTCGACATTTTTTTCGCGTTGATATCTTTAGCATCGTTCTCCAATCCATTCGCAGGCCATATATGGCTATGGGAATATGCTAATAGCGGAAACAAAAAAACGATAGATGGTTTCTTTAGCGAACCGGATGCAGATTGCCCATAATACTTATGGATTTGCTTAGAATCTTTTAATTTGAAAGCTTTTTAAGGCTAACTATGTAGCAGAAATGATTGTCGCGTCCGGATCATCCACTACTGATGCTCATTTAAATGCTGGACAAACAGGCTCTGATGATCTTCATTATCTTATTGATTTTGACATGGCATTTTTGGCTGATCCTGAAGACAAGTAAGTCAGTGTACGCAAGACTTATCCTTCGTTTCGCCTCAGATTCCAAAAGAATGAACTGGCTCAACGAAAGGAATATGCTCATCTGACTGGCGAAGAGTATGCTAAGCAACGTCTGAAGGTTCGAAACGTTTATACTTCATTTCCTCTTTCCTCATCCCACCCCCATAATGATTAAAGATCAAGTTTGGTTTTCAGGTACTCAAACTTTTTCTTCAAATCCCCAACATATTCGCCACAGCTGAGCTCAGACAAGAGTTCGAAGAACGTGCCAGGAAAAACATCAGTCGTGAAATTGAACTCCTAGAAAACGGAAATCGAAAATACGATTAAGCATATTTGGTATTTAACCTCACCCCTGTGAATATCCCCCCTTTCTTTTTTTGGCTTTTTACAATTTCTTTTTCTGCTCTTTCCGGTTCATGATCTCCTCAGCTACCTTAAGTAAGAGATTCACAAACGTTCATTTCATAAGTTTCTTTCGATTTTTTTCTACCCCTAACTTAATTCTTTTTGTGATCTTTGCCGACCGGGAAAATGCATTTTCTTCTTAAGAGGCTAGATTTAATATATTTCTTACATCGTTTATCTTAGTCAATGAATAGTTTCGCAAGTATTTTTTGCCTGTTTGGGGCCCGACATGGTCAACACAAGACAGACAGAACGGATGGTACAAACACAAAAAGACAGACTGCACATGAACAGCCTGAATCACAACTCTGAAATCGAAGAAGAAGAAGAAGGAGAAGGAGAAGAAGAAGAAAACGAAGAAGAAGACAGAAGAAGGCGAAGAAGACAGTCTTTGTCGACGTCTGTGACGACGCAGTAGGACAGAACGATGACGAGAGTGACGACGATCTAAACACACAAAATGACAACAGCAGTCTTGTTCTTCATTATCTTTTGAACAAAAGCTCCAATATTTTTCTGGTCCTAAGGTACAAATTATCGATTACTAACTAACGCTTCTCCTCAAGAATAGCCTGATCGTCGTCCCTCAAAATACAAAGAAAAAAAACCTTCAGCGCCATTCATGAAGTCGATTGACATGCCATATAAGGGAATGCGTTTGATGAAAAACGAGAAAAGTATTAGAATAGGTGGTGAGGAGGATGAATCGGCCAAGGACACAAGATTGACCTACTGACTAGACGAGCGCGGTTACTTTTTAACTAGGATCAACTATAAGTTACATCCCGTGTCATCAATTAGTCTTAATATGACCAAGTGGGGATAAGGATTATGAAAGGCAAAAACATTTTATGGAAATTACAAACCGCCTATGAACGGATCGTACAAACCGCACTGAACTGTATCGAAATATACGGACGTCATTTCCGGTACGTAAAAAGCGTGCATCGGTTGTGCATGAGCTTCGAATTTTTGAACTCTTTATTCAATTTGTTACTCCATCTATTTTTCAATGATTTGTATCTTTTATATGATTTTTATAATCTGTTCGACTTTTCGTGCGCCCACCTCTAGCTTCATGCACTTCTGATGAACAACTGTTAACTCTCGTTCTCGGTGTAGCTCCGACTCACTCATTTAGTCGTCCGCGTGTGTCCTTTATTTCCTTAGACTCTCTCTAATTTCATCTTCACATCTAGCATACTCCGTCTTCTAGTGCTGCTCCTGTTCTTCAGCTGTTCCTCTACTTCTTGCTCATCTCTCGGTCCCAAGTCTCTTGCTTTTCCCTACTATTCACGACAGTTCATTTATCTTACACCGTCTGCAAACGGAGGAGAGCACCGCAAAAGAACTTTTTATCTCCTATCTCTTTCACCTCTCGTTCTCCCTCTATCTCTCTTTCTGTGTTGTTAGAGAGTTCTTCATTGGAATCACAAGGTTTTCCGAATTATTCCCTTAGCCGTATTGCGATACAGCCGGTTCGGGCTTGTATCCAGGTGCGATCCAACTAAAATATGCAAATTAGGGGCACGGTGATTACGGAAAGACGATTATCTCGATCGATCACAGTCGACTGACCACCACAACCACAACCAACACTGATTTTACACACTGGCTATCTAGACCCTAGTCTAGGATGAGAGAGTACACAAATAGAGTAGGGTCGAGCGCGCATGGGTTAGAGATGTAGAGGCATGAAGTGGTCGGCGGAAAGTTTCGAGTGTGGCTGCCGGCTGAACTGTTGCTAGCCCTGGATTTCAGGCTGCGTTCGTCGTTGTCGTCTTCATCATCTTCGTCATCACCTTTTCATAGTTCTGGGTCTTTCCGCGTTGCTGAGTACGGGATATGGTCAGAGACGAGGATGATATAGATGCTGAAGAAGCTGGCAAAAATGCCAATATGCTTCAAGTAAAGCAGCTGATATCAAATAATGTGATAATCAAGCGGAAGGTGAGTAATTTTTTTCGTTCTTTGTTCTTGAATGAGCTTGTTTGGGTCACTTTTTCCGAGTTTATTAGTAGTTTTGTTACACATTTATTCCTTTCACTATAATAAACGCCATATGTTGAGCTTGCGCAAAACTAATGTTTTCATTTGAAGCATATGTTTTGTAGATTTCAACTTTGTCCAACTTCCACATTAAGCTAATTATTCATGGGAATCAAGGAGCGTCGTTAAGTTATTTTACGTTTCCTACGCCACACTTCCCATGATTCACTAGTACAGAACGGTTGCATTCATTTTCCCCTTTTTTTTTCTTAACAGTACATGTTTTATTATTTTTTCCATTCCACATTTATTTTCCTTTTATAATATGCTACATGTTCCTAGTATGTTTTGGTTTCATTGCTGTAAACGGTCAAGTCATCCCCGACTCGTCCAGGCTTTTCTCCCCTTTTTTCCTTACCTTGACCAGCATGAATACGTTATTTACCATTCACTTCTTGCTGTTATCTTTTTTTACTTGTGAAGAAAAGGAAAAGTCTGTGTTTGTTTTCCGGCATTTTCTGCCTGTTGATAATCCAAACACACTTTGCCATCCTTTTTTTGCCTCAGCAGCTTGTAGTGCATTGCTTGTTCACACCTTTTTTTGTGCTCCAATCACACATTGACTTCGAATAAGACTGTTAAAAGCAGCACTGAGATTCTGAAAAAATTTCTCGTCGTCTGCGTGGTTTTCAAGTCTTCTGTGCGTAAGCTGAACGGTCAACAGGCCGATTAGCTTAAGAAAGCTGCTTTTTCTTGTCTAAATTGCGCTTTTCCTTCATCTGTGCATGTATGAGGACAAAGTTTCGAAAGACTAGTCGATAATTACATAATTCTCGGGAATCTCTGAAGTTCTTTAAGCTGTACTTTATAGGAACAGCTTCATCGTTGGCAATCAAGTGAAATGAATGGGGAGCCTGTGTTACGACGGAAGAAACCGCGAGTTCAGTTCCAGGTCAGTTATTTTTATGTTTGACGGAAGTTCATCATCTGTGTTTTTAGGATAGTGATATCTTTCTTAGTGCTTGTATGTCAGGGGATGAAGATGAAGTGGAAGACTTGTTGGAAAAGGGTGCTGACATAAACACGAGTACCGTTGACGGGCTCACAGCTCTACATCAGGTTTTCGCAGCTGTTTTTTGTTTATTATTTGTTTCTTCAGTCTGTTATCGATAGTAAACCCGAAATGGTCCGCTTTTTATGTGAAAAAGGTGCCGATGTCAATGCTCAGGATAACGAGGGCTGGACTCCACTTCACGCAGCTGCATGTTGTGGAAATTTGGCTATCGTTAAGTATTTATGTCAGAATGGGGCTGATATGGCCATTATTAATAGGTTTTCGCTCTTTCCGTGTCATTTTATATATCAAATCTCTTTAAGTGATAAGGAATTAGCTCTGGATTTAGCTGATGACGAATCATGTCGTGAATACCTTGATTACGAGTATAAGAGACAATCCATAGATCCCAACCAATGTCGGAATGTTGAATTAACAACGATGATGAGAGATGCTCAAAAATGGTTAAGAGATGGAAGATATAAGTAATACCCTTTATAAGTGAAACAGTTTTGACCTTATGCTCTTCAGTGATGTACCACATTCACGAACCGGAGCATCAGCCTTACACGTTGCTGCTGCAAAAGGTTACATACAACTTCTAGAGTTACTATTAGATGCCGGAGGAAGTCCGAAAAGTCAAGACAAGGTTTGCATCTAATTTCCTCGAAAGTTTTCATTTCCTCTATCAGGATGGTTGGACTCCCCTTCATGCCGCTGCTCACTGGGCAGAAAAAGACGCTTGTAAAATTTTAATAGAAAATGGTGCTAGTATCCACGATCTAAATCATGCGGTGAGAAAAACGGAAGTTCAGAAGTTTTCAATGAAATGGTTCTTAGGGTCAAAATGTGTTAACTGTTGCCGATAATCAAGTTGTTGAATATTTGGAAGATTTAGAGAGAACTGTAGACAGAAAACGTATAGCTACTTCACCTCCCGTTACAAGTGTGCTACAGGTTGGTAGAGTCATTAATCTCTTTATCCATTCATTCGTATTACAGGAAAAGAATGTGCGCATTGGTGATGACCAAAACGGGAATGAGTATAAGCGGGAATATAGGGAAGCTAGCAGGTTTGAATGCAGTCTAACACTCAACTTCTATATTTACTTGTAGTGAAAACGAATCTCTTTATACTTCTCCTAAATGCCCGAAACTGTCCGAGAAAACACCGTCTGTGGACTCCCAATCATCTCAAGAATCAAGAAGATCTGCTTCTGTTGATGATGAAACTTCTCTAGAAAAATCTGAAAGTGAAATACCTACAAGTGCCCGGTATGCAAATATATTCGTAATTAGCTTGAGTGCTCCTTTTCTAGAACATCTGAGGAACCCTCTCTCTCCCTTTCGGAGCGTTCTTCTGCTTCTATTGAGAAGTTATCGGAGAACATAAGTCAACGGTCATCAGTTACAAGCAATAATACGTTAGGTAGCTCAACAACAGGAGCAAGTTCAATGAGCACAGGCTCGACTAGAACAACAGTCAGTTTTTATTATGTTCTGTTTTTTTATGTTTATTGTCTCAGTCAAACAGCTCTTCCCTGCAGAGTGGGGATCAACATATCAGTTGCACAGTGCCATTCCCACGGCCACTGCAACAACCTAACTCTTGGATTAACAGAGGCGTCCAGTTAGTGACAAGGTGAGAAAATACTCGAACGCTTGTCTTTTTATTTTTTTATCATGTGGATGTTGTTCACAACCGCTCTGTCCGTTCACATCTTTCAAATGACGTATATACGTGTTTTCGAAACTCACGCGTTTGTTCTAATCCCACGTATTTCCACGTGAATTGCGTTGACCACCTACTACTTAGCACTTATCTCCAATAATTCAATTATTTTCAGATCAGCTAGCACATCTTCTGGTTCGGGTAGTAGAACAACTGATGGTTCTCAGTCAGGTTCTTCACAAGTTTCAGTCACTTCCCCAAGCGCTTCCACTTCTCCTGCTCCAGCCTATGCATCGAATAGCAACGTTAGTCAGAATAAAACTCTGTAAGTTATTTTTAAATATTCGTTTTGTTGTGTTTCGGTTTGTTCTGTTCTGCATGCTTTTTGTTTGTTCAGTTTCGAGCCTACCGTGCAACGTTCCACGTCTATTCCTTCTAATTTGCCTTGGCTGTCTTTGTGTCGTAGTGGTAGCAACTCGCAAGCTCGTTCTCCTGTTGATGGGCCAGGTTATCCTCAGTTCTTGAATAGGAACCGAGTTTCGGCTTTTCGTCCGCCTGCAAAAGTTTCAAACACTCTTCCGGTATCCGAATTACCGAGAGGTTTGCAACCACAGCACCTTAGTCCACAAAAAATGAGGTCCGTATGCTTAGTTGAATGTTATTTGTTGCTGTTATCTGCCTTGAGTTCATAGTTCTTGTCTTTGATCACCACGTAATTTAGACCTTGGCTATCCAATACTGTGAATGAAAGCGAAGCTGAAAGACGTACCACAGCTCGTCTCCAAAGACAAAATCGTCGTTCGACTCAAGGAGTCACAAAGGTAAAGCTAATAGCTTCTTCACGAGTTATAATATTTTGAATTCAGGAACAATTAGAAGAAGCTAGTAGAATAGCTGCTGAAGAATCCGTTCGTCGGCGGAACTCCTCTAACACTAACTCTTCAGTGGGCTCCAGCGAAACATCTCATCGTGATTGTGTAAGTTTGAAAGAAAGTTTTAAAATTTGTGTGTATTGTATCAAACGCATTATCCAAGAAAATTGTTTTGCGATTCTGCCATGACCTGCTATGATTTAATTGCTATTCCCGTTCTTCTCTCCGTCATTTTCATCAAAAGGACGGATAGGAGACGTTCATCATTATTCCCAGAGGGTGTTCGGTGATAAACTAGGCAACATTGAGTGATCGGACGAGAGAAAGAATTCAGATGACCTAATAATATCGAAATAATCAGAGAAACTTTTCTAATCACGTTCGCGCGGAAACTAATTGTGGCGAGAGCTGTATTTTATGAAAACGGATTGATGGCAAAGATCGCCTAATCGAGGGATTTGAAATAAATTGGAAATATTAATGAATGCAAAGTTGATTGAACTGATTACAGATGCTAGTAAGGCTTGCATCTGAAGAAAGAGATTCCACTTCGATTTCTGAAAGCTCTGAACCACAAACTTCCTCCACAGTACGAATACTGCAAGACGGCAGTGTACAAGGTATGCTTGTCAATTCTAATTCGGAGACTTAATCTTACATTCCAGATATGGAGCGTAGTAGTACTGACCGTTCTTCACCTCACACTACAAGTGCTTCCATATACCTGTATAAGAATAATTCGATCCCTAATAATAGTAATACCCCCTCAAGCACTGGTTTGCGAAGGAAGAGTCAGGTTTGTGGTAACATCTCTTATAAGCCAAAAACAACTTTTGCATCTGTTTCTGTTTGTCTCTTTGGTTCGCTTGCTTTAGTTTAGTTTTGCTACCAACTCGTGTTAGTCTTTGTTTCTGAGTTCAGTTTTTAACAGGGAGCTCCATTATCACGGTCAAATCGTCGCGGAACGGGTCCAGTTTTACCCGAAGATTTGCATGCCGCTGTTGCTAGTGTGAGCATCAGCTCACCAGCGGAACCCGCTCCTATGCCGACAACTCCGGCTCCTGCTCCTCCACCTCCTCTTCGATATGCCACGAATAACGGAGCGACCTTTAGCCGGCCGGTCATAACGCCGTTTTCAAGACCTGAGGCTCGCCTCAACACTTCCGGAACATATTCGTCAACGTCGTCCACAACAGACAGGACGAGTGGACTGGAGTCAAAATCTTCGTCATTACCTCCAACGCTTATAACAGTAAGTCTGCATGTTTTATCCGTCGTCGGTTGAAGGAATGTGCTTCAGTTTTTGTGTGTGTGAAGTTTTGAGTTTATTTTGTTTGGTTTTTGACTCAATGTTCTAACTCGATTATGACCCGTATTGTTTTTTTCTTTTTTTACAATCAAGTTCACCACACCTCTTCCCGAATAGCTTTTGTTCTCATCTAAAGCTCATAAAATGCTGTGCTCTCTCCACTTGTTGCACAAAGGCGTAGAGAACTAAGTTTCTTTGTCCACTTATCTTTTTTGCGATACAATATCCCTTCTTTCGTTTCTTCAACCACTTCGTTTTGTTGGAAAAGGTAGACTACGCAGTCTACAGCTCATTTTTTATTCAAAACTCATACCTAAACTGTTTTCCCATGTATTCTCCGTATTCTTCTTCTTACTCGAGTCCCAGAACCAGTTCACGGCTTCATCGTCCCAATAATCGTCGGTTAAATGACCTTCGATCCCGATCAGTTGGACCATCATCCACATATCGGAGCTCAAGTTCGGATCGTTACCGAATCTCCAATGCCTTGTTAGACTCTTCTTACAGAGTAGGTCGTGCATGACAACTCCCTGAAAGCTCACTTCTACATTTAGTTTAAAAATATCCACTACTAACACTTGATTTTCAATCGAAAGCATAGCATTCAGCAGACTATTTTTTTTTCTTTTCAGCCAAGCAGCACAACTACGTCATCTGGTTTGCGGAGTGCTGTTGTTCCTCCATCTCCAAGCAGCCGATACCCGTCCAAGGCTGCTGCGGTTTCTCCTCTTCATTCATCTCAATCCTCATATACACCGGCTTCCAATGTTTGTTTAAGTTCCATGAGCTTTTTGAGCATTTCTCGAATTTTTCTCAATTACTTCAACTTGTGATTTGCAGAGCTATGGTTCGCGCCCGACGGAAACAAACTTGAACTATAAGGCCTTATATGAGAAAGAGAAACTTGAGTCGGATAGACTACGGAAGGAGTTGGAAGACATGAAAAAGCAAGATGTAAATCATCATCCTTTTATGGGCTTAATTTTCATCCATTTACAGAACAGCCTTTCAATTGGACGAACGGCAACTTCTCGATTCCGAAATGGATCTCCGGCCAGTTCCATTCCTCTCAGCAAGTCATCTTCCGGAGCTTCTATGGATGATAGTGAGAGAAGGTCAATGGAACGAAAAATATCTGATCTCGAATTGCAAGTCAAGGTTTGTCTCTACAATATTTCTGAACACTTTCACTCGAACTTATTGGATGTTCGTTCATGCCCAGTCCTTTTTAGGAGCAGAATGCTCTTGCTTCTGAGAATGTACGTCTTCGCTCGGAGAACGAAGCGTTGGTTCGGGTTTTAGCCAAAATCAGCCGACCGATTGCCAACTAATTCTCCTTCTGTAGAAGTTCTTTTTTTGAAAAGTATGAACTGTTAGCGCTTGTCTTAACATGTTTTCTAAGATTTCGCGATCTTGACTATACTACTCACCTCTCCCTTTTTTTTCAAACTTGAGATAACTTTGAGTTGTTTGGTCTAACACATTTCCTCCGAACGGGAATCTGCATGAGCTTGCCCATCCATCCTCTATAGTTCACTGAATAATTTTACTTTTTCAGACTGTAAGTCAATTACGAATAGAAAACCAACGTTTGAAGGAGGAAAATGGAGCCCTTGTACGTGTGATTTCCAAAATGACGATCTAGTCTCTTCTCGTTTTCCTCTCAACTTATTGGCCAACGGATGTCGAGGAGACGGAAGTCTCCATTATCCCAACTGTCGCACGATTCCTACTTTTCTCTGAAACAGAGTTCTCTCGTAAATTCTGTGTGTATGTGTCTGAGTGTGTATGTGTTTTTTGCTCATCCACCACTTTTCCCTTCTATGTACATTCGCCTGCATTTGTCGTCTTCAACAATCTAGTGATGTCTAGATCAAAATTCGGTGCCCTTGTTGATCAGTTCCCTACACTGTGCAATTGTATTATATCCACTCGCCCCCCAAAACTTCTCTTACCTTTCATGGGCAAAATCAGGGTTCAGTTTTTTCGCCCTCCCCCTCCCTCCTACCATCTACCCTTTTGTCCAATTTTGGCCTAAGTTTATTGATAATTCCTTAAGATATATTTTTTTCTCGGCTTGTTAGATTAATTTACCATATTCGGATGTTGACATGCGGTTAGTAGCTTCTCAAAGTTTAAGCGTTTCATCTTTCCCAGAGTTTGTTCTCTCTTTAAACCTTATCAGATTCTTAGCAGAGAATATATAGTATCTATATCTCTATTTATACATATGTGATTTTGGATATTTTCGCGGATTTGATTGGCGATGTTTGAGCTATACAAGGGAATCATCTCTCTCTCTCTCTCATACAATCCCTCTCACTCACTCTCTACTTTTTATTTTTTCTCTTCCTCTCTCTCTCTTCGTTGTTCTTTCTTGTGGCGAATGCTTTGAAAGGTTTTGTCAAGATGAACTCATAGCAACATAAAATATATATTTGACATGTTCTCTTCGAACTTACATAAACAGTTACATAAACATGCTGGACAAGGAACAGAGATGAGGGACGAAAAACATGATGACGAGGATGGGATGGCAACATACAGACAATGATGTTGTTGTTGTTGAGCTAATAAGGTGTAATTGATGTGACAAATGATTTGAGGATTTGATAAAACATGAAAATGACTCATCCAATCAAAGAACAATATGTGTTTTCGGTTTTCAGCGTCCATGACAGCCACTGGGCGACAGTCATTTACAAAGGAAAGTTCGAGAGTCCTACGGGGTACAGAAGGAAAATAGTATCTTAATGAGAGAGAATGATGATGAATCAGTGAGAGAAACAGCTGTTTCATCAGAGTGGATTGATGACGAGGTCGTCACTGGTTCGTTCTCCCCCATAAAAGATTTCCTATATAAACAATCAGAAATACATGGATAACGAGATTCCCCAGCACATACAGACTTCCTAGTAGTCCAGCTTTTCCTCTGACCTTTCTCTAGAACCTCTCTCTCTCTCTCTCAACCGTCCCTTTTTAAGAAAAAAGGTTGTTTATTGACAGCAGGACAGTATCCTACTGGTTTCATCCATCACACTTGGGTGGGAATGTAGCGATTTGGCGGTCCCACCTCAATTTCCTTTGTTCAACTTGAAAATGCTTAGTTGAAAATTAGATCTACGTTCACTCACCCATCAAACAGTCAATGTGTGGAAGTAGCAAGCAAGACTATTTTCTTCCAGAACCATGACTCTCCAGCATTCTTTTCCTCCTCCTCCTCTTACACCTCCGCCACCACTTCCTTCTTGTTATTTGAAAATGCAAGAAAATCAATAAACCCGTGATTTTTTTTGTTGTAAATCAGACAGTCTTTTATGAATCTGCTTACAAACAGTATTATTCATAGTTTTGTTATGTTTAATTCCATTCAACAATTTCTATTTTTGGCATTTCAATAGATTTCCTATGCATGATTAAGACTATCGGCTTTCCAGAAACTTCTGTAGCTTTAGCATTTAAACAGTTTTCCCAAAGCGAGCTCTCATCTAAAGAGTTTGCGTCTGTGTGGTGCATGTGTGCGTATATGAGTGAGTGAGCGTATATGAATGTATCTTGCCAGTTACGGCACTGCGTTACGATGTAATTGCTGCTGGACGCTCAAAGCATCCTAAACCCATCCCTCGCATTCACACAGTGTCAACGGTTTGTCTAAAATCAACTACAATTTACCATTTTGACCTAATATATGACAATTTCTTGTCAAATTAACCAATCAAAACCTTTATGACAGTCATGCGGGCATAATTACCTCGTACTTCTACTCCTCCCCTCTCCTCTGCATCCAACTCTGCGTAACCAAAGTCATTTGTGGTGAACTGGACGTGCTGAGCGGTTGCTTTTTTTTTCAGTTCACTAAATTCTTCTGACCCATTTCTCTGTTTCTTTCCCCTTTCCTTCCATATTTTTTTTGGCTGATTGAAAGAAAATGTGACGAATAATATTTGATGTTTCGATAAAGAAACACAGAAAATGTTAATTTACTTTACTCTTTGGTCTCGGGGAGGTCGTCTTCGTTCTGTTTTCCCACGATTTTAGGCAAACACATGAATATTTTGTAAACTTGACCAATCAATAATAGATCATTCCATTCTTTGTCACCATCCGGTTATCCTAGGTAATCTGGCGGCTGAACTGCCTATTCAAATCTTTAACTCTTTTGTATTTCAAAGGTACGAGATTAGGTTAGCCAGAGAGAGAGAGATGGAGAGAATAAGAGAGTGCATGATGATCATAGCAATCATAGCGAGACAGAGATTTGATAATCTTTGTCATTCTTCTCCCATATTTGGTGATTTAATTGCATTTGACCCGTATTCTTGCATATCATGTTAACTCCTATTTTTACTTTTTCTTCAAAAAATATGTTTTCAGGAAATGAAAACTGTTTGTGTTGTCTTGGCTTTAGCCGCCGTCGCTTTCGCTGCTCCACGGGAAAAGAGATTCACCGTTGGAACAATCTCTGTGTCTGCTCCAATCTCTGGAGGAAACATTGGATGTGTTGTCACGGTGAGTGTTCAGAACAAACGAACAATGTTGTATTTTGATGTTACAGGGAAATACTTTGTACATCAATGGCTTGAAACAACGCGAGTTGAACTCTGATGAGCAAAAAGAACTTGAAACCTATCAAGGTGAATTCACCAAGTACAAGGATGAATTGAAGACTTTGGTTGCCGAGAAGCATAAGGCTCTCCAGGCTAGAATCAGTGGAAAGAAGGGACCAGCTTCAGTCGAATCTGTCTCCTCTTCTGCCTCTACCTCTGTTAAGCCAAAACCACCAACTCGTCCATCTTTCTGCCAAGCTGAAGACACTACCCAATACGTATTCGAAGGATGCTTAGTTCAAGCTAACAAAGTATACGTCGGAAGAGAATATGCCCGTGACTTGACCGAAGCTGAAGTTGAGGAGCTCAAGCAGTATGATGAAAAACAAACTGCTTACAGCAAGCAAGTCCAAGAGCACGTCAATAAGGTTTGTTCTTTCTGTTTGTTATACATACATAATGGAACTGAATGTTTCAATCCGTTACACTTATCATTTTGCAGCAAGTGAAGGAAATTCTCGGAACATCCGACATCTTCTCAGCTCTCTTAGGAGAAATCGGAGGAGGAAAGAGCCAAGATACTGAGCCTGAGGTAAACGGAGCATTCCAGTTTCTTTTTCATATCAAACATTCGTTCAGACTACTACTCGTTCATCTTCCGGATCAACTGAAGTCTCACCACTTCTCTTGGAAGCCCCCGTAGCTCCCAACTTCTGTACCGCAATTCTCTAAATGATTCTTTCGTTCTAGAAATCATCATTTTGTAAGAATTTTTTGTAATTATGGAAAAGCATGGCAATATGTTTGTAATTTCTGATAATAAATTAATGATTTCAATGAAAACTGAAAATTCTGATGCAACGACGACAACGACGACAACAGATGAACGCTGGTGTATGGTTGTATGAGAGGAGTCAATGTAGATAATGCAATTGAAAACATAAATTTTCCAAATGAAGAGAGAGAGAGAGAGAAATAGAAACAAACAGAGAGAGAGAGAGAGAGAGAGAGAGAGAGAGAGGGAGAGATGTAGCTAAGAAGTGTAATTAATCAACAAATGAATTAATTCGAAATAATTCCACGTGGATTACACGGAATAGCACGTGAACATCCACGTCAACATCTTCTCTGCCCCATCTTCATTTCATTTTGCTGTATGGAGACGTCAGTTAAACGGTTGTGTGCGGTCGTAAGCCATTTTTCCATTTTCACACACACATAGTTGTATCTCGTCGTCCTAAAGCGATTTTCTATCATATTTTTGAAAAGAAAAGAGAAATTTGTGCGTTTGTTAACGAACAGAGATCCGTCTTTGATGGTTTTTTTTTTGTTTTATTTAATGAACAACACGATTTGATCGAAGTAGTGATGATGAAGAGCGTTCTCAGTTGCAATTATCTTCTTCTTTTCAAGTTTATCCACAGAACTTGTTAGCTTCTCTGTTTGTTGTAAAGTTTTTCTTTTTTTTTCGATTTGGTTTGAATTTTTTAATTTACGAAATCATCTCAACATCCTCTCGCCTCTGTTCGCTCTAAGCCGTAGACGTCTTCTCATTCTCCTCTACATCTCATTCCACTACCTCTATAGTAAGTCTCACTCTCTCTTTAGACACTTCTTGTTCATACTGCTCTTCTCTCTCTCTTTATCTCATTCTCTCTATACCAATTTCTTTTTTCCCCTCTCTCTCTTTATTTTCTCCCTCGCACATTCCAATGTTATCGGATGAAAGTATCTAAAAGATTCTTTTGTTTCCAAAATCTTTAAGCTTCATCACCTTTTGATGTTTCACTTGAATGCTTCGAATATTCAAAATTTAATATTTCTTTTTTGGGTTACAAAGATTTTTTCGTTTTTTTCTTCTCAGCATTGCTATCTCACGTCCCTTTCATCAGATTTTCCTTTCGGCCAACTGTTTTAACAGATTTTCGCTCTGTTTCATCTCTCATAAGGACTTGGCCGCTTTCTATGTGACTGACATTCCCTCCAACTGTTTCAACAAACTACAGTCATAGAAATTAAAAGTTTTTTTCATTCCAGCATTTCTACCTCTCTAGCTTCCTTGATCGCTCTCCATCTCTCCTCTACTCTCTTACAAAATATTATATTTGTATAAATTATATCTTTCTGAACCCCTTTATGACGATATAGTAATCCAAGCATGATACAAGGGGAAGAACCCTTTTCACAGCTTACCTTGCTCGATGTGAATGAATCAGCGGCTACCCTTATACATCACAATCCGCTCTTTTGGCTAATTATAATGAAAAGCTGAGAGATGAGAGAAGAATCACAAAAAGGCAAAGTAGAGGTTTCTATTGCCTTACAAGGTCAAATGTCAAAGGAGATGAGAGGAAAAAACAAATTTTTTTTTGAACATTCGAGACTGTAATTATGGATTCATTGAGGCGTAATTGATCAAATATGGTCAACTATACACATAGTTATTATAACATACACATAGATTAGATGGCTGCCTTCTTTGATATAAATCCCAATTCGATTGTTTTCTACTGCTTGTACTGCTTGTTGTCTACTAACGTATTCCATGCTGATGTGAAGAGAGAGAGAGAGAGAAGAAAAAGCTTTGAAGAAAGAAAGTAGACGAGAAAATGCCGGAGGAGAAGGAGATACGGTCAAAAGATAATTCTCAAACCAATCTCTCTCTCTCTATTCATCTCTCTCTCTCACATTCCTCTCTCTCTCTCTCTATAGTTCACTTCCTGTATTGCATAGAGATAGGAGTCCCTTCGATCTTTACTTTTCAATGTTTTTTTCCCAATGTCCTTATAAGCTTTTAATTTGAATAAATAAACAAATATTATTACTATACGAATCGTACATGAACGGCATTCATTTTGACCCTTTGAACGATCCGTTCGTCAAACAACTTTTCCTCCTCGTTTCCTTCCTCTCCTACTCTCTCTATCTCTCCTTCCCTCCAGACCTTCCCTTTCTATGTTTGTAATGAAAATCATTCAAAACTTATAAAAAGCTTATTGTTTGATGAAGATAAGCTTATTTGATAACCTTTTTCCATATTTTCCATATTTGGAATTTATAATTTCAGCCATCTTGTCCTCAAGTTGCTTCAAGAGCTCGTTCAATCATTCTGCTCCAGCTTCGTCTTGGTTTTTGCTTTTGTTTTTTCAAATCCATCTCTCTCCATTCCTCTCTCTCTCTACCTCTCTCTCTATCTACTCCTACTCACCTGGCTATTGTTTCTTGTTTTTTATTGTTTATCAGACTTTTGTTTCGAGGGCGAATTGCAAGATAGAGAGGAAAGCAGTATGAACCCTCACTGTCATTGTCATCTTGCTTGCAGCATTCAAATATTCTCTTCTATTCTCTTCATCAATAGCCTGCCCATATAATCGTTTACAAGAAAGTTTCTCTCATAATCTCAGCATTAAGACATTTCATCACAAGTCTCGGAAGTTTCAACTTTTGCGTCCAAACAGCCAAAAGACCAACACGCAAGTCTGTTTTTCTATTTTCTCTTTAAAATATCTATTTTATCCGCATTATTCTGAAATTTTGAATGAAAACTTTTATAAAAGTTACTTGTCTTTCCAATTTCCTTCTAATCTCCTGAATTGAACAGGTTTCGTTCAAATTCGACACCGTCTTCTCAGTCTTAACCTTCAAATCCATTTTAGGTTTTACTCTGATTTTCGTTTTGTGTGATTTCAAAATATTTTCACTGCTAGAGGTTGATATGAACATATGAGAGTGAGAGAGGGACAGATAGAGAGAGAGAGATGAAGAGTGACAACAGAAAGTAAGAAAGAAACAGAAAAAGCAAGACGGAGAACTAATGAAGAATTTCCGGAGAAAGTTCTTCGTTACCGATCTGATTTGGTTTTTGTATGATTTTCATTCAGTCTTATCCATCATAACATTAATTCTGGAGATGAAGCTGATGTATTGGACGTCATCAACGATGACAGCGACACTATGTTAAGAATCCAATAGAAAAAACGACAGATTTCTGGCCATTTGTCTTTGTGTGTTGATAAGCTTCTCCCCCTCCCTCTCTCTCTATCTCTCTATCTCTCTCTCTCTCTCCAACCCCACCAAATTACTACGTAGTGGATGTTTTTCTTAATCTTTCCATCCATAATCAGACTTGTTTCTTTCCTCTTTTTCGCTTTGTCCGCCTTGATCTATACAGCATTCCAATGATTATTTCTATGACCTTCCTCTCTCTGTTTCTTCGTTTTTACCTTATTTGGCAAACCTGTTTGTCAAAAGTCACATTACTACTAATGAAGATGCGAGAGAAAAATGACTGCCACAATAAGCTTCTATCTCTCATACTTCCTCTCTTTCTCTCTCAAACCCTCTTACTACTCTCTAGATCTCTCATTCTCTGGTTTATCAAATCAGATGATTCTTATTTAGAAGCTTGTCTCATATTTACCGTAATCTTTCGGATTACTCTCATATCGTCTATACTGTATCCTTTTCCTATTCCAACTAGCCAACTCCATAGCCCCCCCACCAACACAAGCTCTTCTCTTCATCTCTTCTATCTATCACTCTTTCTCTCTTTAAAGTTTTCCCTTCACATTTCAGATTTTCCTATCTTTGCTCGCTAGTCTCTCACTGCTTCTGTTACGCAGCAGAACCATTTGGCAGTCTCAAACAAATTTATTTGATGTTTACAACACAATCGTTTTCCAGCTCTCCTCTCTTCTTCCACGGCTTCATCTCTCGCTCACTCCTTGTTCATTTAAATTTTGAACAAACCTCTCAAGCACATAAAAACTTCTTTTACAGGTTTTTGTTAAGCTGCAGGAAGAAGCAGAAGAGATAGAGAGGTGAGAAATTAGAGGTTGAGCTTCATCTACTTCTCTCTCTCTTCATGTACTTCCTGTTCTTTTCTCATCTAATCTGTCGTCGTCATTATGTTCTTCCTATTCTAATACTTCCCGTTCAGAGCAAAATGTTTGCCAGAAGGCTACTACTATACGTCGTCCCGTCCATTCTGAAATCACTGTCTTGTTCTCTCTCTCTCTCTCTCTCTCCCTCTCTATTTTCTTTTCTCTCTTTCTGTCTTTCTCTCCATATACCATATAATCTCTCTCTCTGAAGCTTTTTCTGGTTTCTGACCATTCGTATAACTTTTAGAACATTCGTACTTTAACTTGAAGCTTTTCCACTCTCATATTTCTAGGTCATTCATGTCCTTTTTCGTTTGTCAAACAGATTATGGACGATTCCCATCAAAAACGTTTATATCCCCAAATAGCCTGAGGCAATCATTTGTTTGAGTAGAACATCTTCTTCAGACAGATTAGAATCGTTTTTTGTTTAGAAAGAAAAAGTCTTTTTTTTGAAAAAAAAACACATTTGAAAACGCAAATCACACCCTTGGACTCGCTCTCTGTGTCTTAGAGCCAATGAATGTCCTTACAGTCTTTCCATTCCTCCTGCCATATAGTCTCTTGTGCACTCAACATACACCAATCCTCATCCACAATCTTGAATTCATTCTCTCTCTCTCTCTCTCTCTTCATATCTATGTCATTCACTCTCTTTATAATAATTTCTTATGAAGAAGTGTCATATCTTCAACAGATGTCACGGCGGGACTTCAATATTCGCAACCGTTTTAGAAGCTCTTCTCTCTCTCTCTTTACCTGTCAACGAGAGTAGAATGTCATTCCTGTTCAATCTAATGATGACGTCATCATCATCGTAACTGAGATATTTACTATTCTGATTATAAA